CGCCCGAGACACGCCCGGGACACTCCCCCAGATCCTCCAGGATCGCCCCAAGAGGGCCCCAGGAGGCCCCCAACACAATCCAAGAGAGGTCCGAGACGCCCGAAGATCGCTCCACGGCGCCCAAGATGGCCTCCAGACGGCCCAAGAGGTCTCCAAGATGACCCAACAAGCCTCCAAGATGCCCCAAGAGGCCTCCAGGAGCACTCCCAAGAGGGCCCCAAGAGGCAAAAATCAATGCTTTTTCTTAGGTTTTGGACAGATTTGGGCATTTCAACCTTTTCGGTTCCCCGACGCTCCTAAACGGCTCAAGAGGCCTCCAAGATCGCCCCAAGAGGGCCCAAGAGGCCCTCAAAAGGGCCCCAAGACGGCCCAAGACGGCTCCAAGACGGCCCCAGAGGCCTCCAAGACGGCCCAAGAGGGCCCCAAGAACGCCCCCAACACGGTCCAAGAGAGGTCCGAGACGCCCGAAGATCGCTCCACGACGCCCAAGATGGCCTCCGGACGGCCCAAGACGTCTCCAAGATGGCCCAAGAAGCCTCCAAGATGCCCCAAGAGGCCTCCAAGAGAACTCCCAAGAGGGCCCCTAAGAGGCAAACAACTGTGCTTTTCCTTGGGTTTTGGGCAGATTTATCGACAACTACACAGCTCCCGACGCCGCAGCTCCACACTGCAAACGACCACTCGGACAGGCGACCACGGTGCGACATTATGGGCCGGCGGAATGAGCGAAGCGATTAAATAACTATTGTTGATCCCTCCCCCCTTCGGCGCACATGGTATTTTTCCAATTGAAGCGCCCCTCTCGGGGGTCGCACCCTGTTCTTTAACTGGAACAACCTTGGAGGTCAAACTGGACCCCTGGCCCCCGAGTTACAGCAACAAGGGCTCCCGCCGGTCCTCACAACTTATTCAAAAATCGCGCTCTCGCGAGGAGCTTCCTCACATGATATACAAAAGTCGCACTCTCGCGTGGGACTTCCTCGCGATGTATTCAAACGCCGCGCCATCGACACTCAGGAGTCTTCACGATTTACTAGGGAATCGTGCTATCGCTCGACACTTCCTCGCGATTCATGCAAGACGCACGCTTCAGCAACCCGCCTGCTCGACCTGGCTGCCTGGGCCCGCCTTCTCGACCCGCCCGTTAGGGCCTATCCGCCCGATCTGCCCGTCTGGTTCTGCCACGTGTTTTCTGCTCCTAGCCCCCCTCCTGCTACTCTCTCTCGTGCTCTCTCCTCCTCCCTCCCCCCTGCCACTTCCTTTCATCTGTCCTCGCTTCCCCTACCTCAGGGGTTGCACGAAATACACGTGGCGGGTAAAACAAATATACCCCGATGGTGGTACGATCGAAGACGGAGATGGCGGGTATCGAGGGTTCGGGATATACGTGTCGACTTGCACGCGAACAGATCAGAACGAACAGTCTTAACATGATTGTTGATGTTGCTGTTGCTTCTGTTGTTGTCGTGGTCTTTGTCGTTGTCGTCGTCGTCGTCGTCATCGTTAATGTTATTGCTGCTGCTGTTGTTGTTGTCGTGTTTGTTATTGCTTTTGTTTGTGTTTTTGCTGTTGTTGAATCATTTCTCATTTATACAAACAAATCTTGTTGATCCCCCTGCCTGATAAACAAAACAATTATTGATGATCCCCTTGCCCGGTAAAAGTTGTATTTTGTTCAACTAAAGTGCTTCCCCCGGGGCTCGCACCCGTCTTTATTACAAAGGAAAGCGAAGTGTCACCACACTGGACCCCTGGCCCTTGGTTTACAACAGCAACACAACAGCAACGGCTCCCGCCGGATACTGCCTCACAATGTTTTCCCACATCGCGCTTTCGCGCGGGACGTCCTTACAATGTATACAGTAATCGCGCTCTCGCGTGGGACTCTCGCAATATATTCAGGCTCCGCGTCCTCGACATTCAAGAATCACGCTCTCGCTGTGGACTCCTCACGATGTATTTGGAACATCGCGCTGTCGCTCGAGACTTCCTCGCGATTCATGCAGGCCGCACGCTTCAACAACCCGCTTGCTCGACCTGGCCGCCTGGGCCCGCCTTCCCGACCCGCGCGTTAGGGTCTACCCGCCCGATCTGCCCGTCTGGTTCTGCCACGCGTTTTCTGCTCCTAGCCCCCCTCCTGCTACTCTCTCTCGTGCTCTTTCCTCCTCCCGCCCCTAAGTGTCCCTTCCTTCCATCCGGTCTCTTGGGGGCTGCACGAAATACGCGTGGCGAGCAAGAAAGATACACCCCTAAATGGATTATGATCGAAGACGAAGAGAGCGGGTATCGAGGGTTTGGGATATACGTGTTGAATGGCACGCGAGCAGATCAGAACGAACAGTATCAGCATAATTGTTGTTGTGCTTTTTGTTGTTGTCGCTGTTGTTGTTGTAAGTGGTATTTTTTCGTGTTGCTGTGATGGTTGTGATTGTAGTTATGGTTGTTGTTGTTGATGTTGTTGTTGTTGTCGTTGTTGTTATTGTGGATATTGTTCTGGATATTGGTGTTGTTATTGTTGTTGTTGTCGTTGTTGTTGTCGTTGTTGTTGTTGTCGTTGTCGTCGTTGTTGTTGTTGTTATTGGTGTTGTTATTGTTGTTGTTGTTGCTGTTGTTGTCGTTGTCGTTGTTGTTGTTGTTGTTGTTGTTGTTGTTGTTGTTGTTGTTGTTGTTGTTGTTGTTTGTGTTGTTGTTGTGATAGTGGATGTTGTTGTTGTTATTGGTGTTGTTATTGTTGTTGTCGTTGTTGTTGTTGCTGTTGTTGTTGTTGTCGAATTACCACTTCTGAATAATAATAATTGTTGATCCTTCCCTCCGGTAGCTATTGTATCTGTTAGATTTAGATGCTTCTCCCAGGGCTCGAACCCTGTTCTGTCCAAGCTGCGCCCGTGGCCCCCGTCTTACATCAACAAGAACGGCGGTTCCCGCCTGATGCGCCTTCACAATTTATTCCGAAATCGCGCTGTCGCGTGGGATGTCCTCACCATTTGTACAGGTATCGCGCTGTCGCGTGGGCCTTCTTCGCAATGTATTCAGACCCCGCGTCCTCGACACTCAGAAATCACGCTCTCGCTTTGGATTCTTCACGATTCATGTGGGAATCGCGCTATCGCCTGGTGAGATCGAGGTGGAACGGAGAGCCCCCCTACCGGGAAATCGATTTCGGTTTCGTGTTCGTGCGTGCCGTGCGTGCGGGCGAGGCGAAGCTGCGTGGGCGGGCGAAGAGGAAAGTCTCCTGTGGCTGACGCGCGGCCTGGTCAAATGTTTGGCGAACCTGCGTTCGGGGCCGCGCGGTGTCCCGCCGCTGTCCGGCCGGTGCCCCGTCGGTGTCCTGTGAGATCGATTGTGAGATCGATCGTGAGATCGATTGTGAGATCGATCGTGAGATCGACAGTGATATCGATAGTGAGATCGATCGTGAGATCGATAGTGGTATCGATAGTGATATCGATTGTGAGATTGATCGAGTGAGATCGATCGAGTGAGATCGATCGTGAGATCGATAGTGAGATCGATCGAGTGCGACGTTGGCCCTCCCCCCTCACCTCCTTATCACCCGAAGGGTGGTCGTATAAGTTAGTAGTAGTAGTCGTAACATAGTGGTAGTAGTAGTAGTAGTAGTAGTAGTAGTAGTAGTAGTAGTAGTAGTAGTAGTAGTAGTACTAGTAGTAGTAGTAGTAGTGGTAGTAGTAGTAGTAGTGGTAGTAGTAGTAGTAGTAGTAGTAGTAATAATAGTAGTAGTAGTAGTAGTAGTAGTAGTAGTAGTAGTAGTAGTAGTAGTAGTAGTAGTAGTAGTAAATGGAAATTGAGGGGGGAGATCGCAAGGAAACGGAGACCACCCACCGGGAAATCGGTTTCGGCTTCGCGTTCGTGTCGTGCGTGCGAGGCGAAGCTGCGCGTGATCCTCCTGTAGCTAGGCCGAAGTAGGAGCGAAAATCCGTGTTCCCAGCAGCAAGCGGCCGGTTGGGCCGGCCGGTGTCCCGGGTGTCCCTGGTGTCCTGGGCGTACCGGTATCGATATTGAGATCGATGTGGTGCCCCGAGGTGTCCTGTGGTGTCCCGTGGTGTCCCAAAAAGTGAGATCGATAATGAGATCGACAGGTGTCCCGTGGTGTCCCGTGGTGACCTATGGTGTCCGTTGAGTGAGATCGGTAGTGAGACCGATAGTGAGATCGATGTGGTGCCCCGAGGTGTCCCAAAAAGCGAGATCGATAGTGAGATCGACAGGTGTCCCGCCGTGTTCCGTGGTGTCCCATGGTGTCCCGTTGAGTGAGATCGGTAGTGAGATCGCTGGTTAGATCGACAGATCGACAGGTGTCCCTTGGTGCCGCGTGGTGTCCTAAGGTGTCCAATTGAGTGAGATCGATAGTGAGATCGATAATGAGACCAATACAGAGATCGAGAAGTGTCCCGCGGTGTCCCGTGGTGGCCCGTGGTGTCCCGTGGTGTCCCGTGGTGTCCCGTTGAGTGAGACCGATAGTGGGATCGACAGGTGTCCCGTGGTGTCCCGTTGAGTGAGATCGATAATGAGATCGATGTGGTGCACCGAGGTGTCCGTCGGTGTCCCGTGGTGTCCCGTTGAGTGAGATCGATCGTGAGATCGATGTGGTGTCCCGAGGTGTCTCGTTGAGTGAGATCGATAGTGACACCGGTGGTGAGATCGAGAGGTGTTCCGCTGTGTCCCGTGGTGGCCCGTGGTGTCCCGTGGTGTCCCGTTGAGTGAGATCGATAGCGAGATCGATAGTGAGATCGACAAGTGTCCCGTGGTGTCCCGTTGAGTGAGATCGATAGTGAGATCGATTGAGTCAGATGTTGGTTCCCCCCCCTCTCCCCCCCCCACAATGTCCTTATCACCCGAAGGGTGGTCGTATATGTAAGAAAGATATATACCCCAAAGGGGTACGATCGAAGACGAAAAGAGCGGGTATCGAGGGCTTGGGATAAACGTGTTGAATGGCCCACGAGCAGATAAGAGCGAACAATATGAACATGATTGTTGTTGTTGTTGTTTATGTTGGCTCCCACGGCGTCGGATCTCAGGCGACGCGCTGCAACGGCGGCGGAACTACTCAAAAAGAGAGAGGGCAAGATGCGGCCCTTCCAGCTCACGCGAACAGCCCGATGTTCCAGGACTGCCTCCTGCTCCTCTCCCACAACATCGTGTGGCAATCGTGGATCTGCTTCCCCTCACACATCGAGGACCAATCCTGAGCCACGTCGCAACCCGCTTCCTTCAGCGCGTCCCGCACCAGCGACTCCTCCTGTTTGCTCACAGGCGCGCAGTTCGCGTCGTTGTCGCCGCAGCCCTCGACGCACTTCGTCCCCTTGAAGAGGTTGTGGCAGTCCATGTGACGCACGGGGGCACCGTTCACGGCCAGCACGCCCGTCTTGTGGCACTTGGCCTCGCCGAGGAACGCGACAACGTCCCAGAAGTCGTCGATGTACCAGTCGTTCCGGCGGTCGTTGTTCTGGTTGCGCTCCCAGACGGCAGGCCAGATCTTGGTCGAGATCACGGGGGCCTGGACCTCGCTCCGCTGGGTCTCGTACGCCATCATGAACTTGTCGCTGCGGGGCGGTTGCATGACCAGCTTCGTGACCCCGGTGGCCCGCATATGCGGCGCCTTCGGGATGATCACCGGCTGGGAGACCACCGGGTCGACCGTCGATAGCACCGTGCGGTAGAAGTCCCAGTTCAGGAAGTCGAGCTGGATGTCCTCGTCCAGCAGCCAGAGGTAATCGTACTTGGACGCCACCTGCGGGGTGATCTGCGCCCAGAACTGGGGCTTGCAGCCGGCACCAAGCGTCTTCTTGACGACCTTTCCCCCGAAAAGGGCGCTGTTGCGATACCAGCTGTGCTTCTTCCACTCCGTGGTGCCGCTGTCGATGTGGAAGAGAGCGAAATCGAACTTGTCACCGTGCTTGTTAGCAAGCAGCCTTTTCATGTTGGTCTCGAAGATTTCGACCATAGCTTCGGTGTCGTGGACAGCCGAGACGACGAGGGTCCTATACGGCTTCTTGCGATGACCGTCCGCATGCTCGCTGAGCAGCTGCTGAGCCATCTTGTCCTGGTACGCGTGCCAGGCGGTGGCGACGTCCCTGGAGTAGTTCCCCATTCCCACCTGGTCCACTACGTCTGCCATGAAGACGCGGCCCTCGTCGAGCTGAGCCGCGCAAGCTGCGGCATCGACGGTCATGTTGCCCCCCTCATCGCTGTCGGCCCGGATGCCGAGGCCCGAAGCCGAGCAGAAGCACGCGGCCGCCAGAACGGCCCGCGACAGCACCGCCATGGCGTCCCAGGCTGCTGGTATGAATGTGCAAAATTCAGAATGGACGTGTGAACGCGTGGGCCGACGAAACCCAAGCCTGAGCCTGCCTGGCTACTCCATTCAGCTTCATCAAGTCCCTCCATGTCGCCCAGCCCAACACCGCTCCCTGGTGAACTCCATAAAGGAATTCATGACGAAAACTGGAGCCTGTCTACTCGTGCAACACCAAAAAAACACCAATTGCACCGATGATCTTTTTCAACTTTGTGACCTCCTGATAGCCTTCTGGAGAGCTGAATGGAAGCCTTGGAAGGTCGTATAGGATCTCATGACAACAATAATGAAGCCTCTTGGGGTTATATGTGTCCTGGTCCTGCAGTGGGCAAATCGGCACCAGTGTGACCACGCCAATGAAAAAGGCGGCACCAGAGTGGTCCTACCATGGAAGAGGAGAGCGACACCACCAAAGTGGCTATGCTATGGAGGAGAGTTGCACCACCGGGCCTGTAACCCTAGAAGTCCGATGTGTGTATCCGCCACCGTGCCCTCGGCACGTTGCGGCTTGTGGATACCTGTGAGCTGTTTGGCAAGGTGTCTGTTCATTCTCAAGGGCGAACCCTCCCCCGTCATCGCACGCCCTTTTTAAACAGACACTTCCCTCCGTTTCCTGTCCAGCACTCTCCACTGTCACCAAACGGCGCCATGTGAGCCCAAGGCCGCCTCAAAATGGCTGTAAGCTGCCTCGATCGAGACCAGCCCAAACCGTTCACAGACCTCCGAATGACCCCCAGGAGCGCCAAAAAGGCTTACGAAAACTCGTACTTACGGGTGATTTCACGAACGCAAGCACTGATTCGGAAAACGTGCGCACAGTTCGTGTTCTCGGAAAGAAACGCCATCAAATGTTCAACGCGCGCGACACCTCCTGCATCTAGCAAATCTCTCCATTTGTCCCCATAGCAATCTCAAAAACTCTTGGTGCTTTGGGTCGCGTAAGAACAAATACAAGTTTCAGCGCCCCCGAAGCCACGACCCTCCGTTTCAAACGTGGTTCCGCACCACGATATCCGCTGGCCCTATGGGGGGTCATTCGGCCGCGAGGCGTAGGTGTTCCACTTCCCTGCAAGTTGTGCTAATGGATGCTATTTGTGCTAGTTCCACGGCTGTAGTGTTTGAAGGCCGCGCGAGGGGGAGGATCCCGAAAAGTGGCGTCTAACCGTCCCTAAACCGCTTGCTCTGAATTCATGGGGTGCCTTGGGACACCGTAAGATACAACATATTCGTACTTCCCGAACCACAATGCCAGGCCAACTACGCCAGTTTCGGGCCCGATGCAACAAACATTTGTGAACTACGCCAGGCTCGCGCCAAAGTGTAAGCCAGTGGCGCAGAGGGTCCTCAAACGCGGGCAGCAGATGGAAGTGCCAATTGCGATCGAGCGCAGTCGAAAGCACGCAGTGAACGAGACGTCGAACACTGGGATGCAAACGATGGGTGGTGGACTAGAGAGCCTGTGAGCCCCAAATAAAAGCGTGCAGCGGCCAGAAAGCTGAGGAACAAGCTCAACTCAAAGTGAACGGAAGCACAAATAGTCTGGTGCTAATTGGCGGCCGCCGAATAATCGGTCAATCGATGTTAGACAGTGGAGCGCGAGAAATCCTGTGAGGCTGCCAGACCAGGCAAGTGGTGGATTAGCGCTGGACAAGAAACTGTGACCTGGCGAAACAGATGGGTGGGGTGCAAGCCTACGAACCCGCGACGTGAGGTGCAATAGCGTGAATGGGTGGAGAGCTAGACCTACAAGGCGCGACAGCAATGCAACAACGCGACAGAAATGAACGTCGCCGAAAGCGGACGCTGAAGCTCGAACGATAAAGTAGAAAGCGTGTACGTGCGACGCCGCACGCGTAACGCTCGAACGCAGAACTCTGCAAACAACTCCATGCAGAAGCCGAACCAGACGCCGAAATCGCTGTCAAATGCGGGGGGGGCAAACAGAAGAGGAATAACAAAAGGGGGGGAGGAGGAGCGAAAGGAGGCGTGACTGCCGCGCCGGCCGTGACCGCCAGGCGGGCACGCAAAAAAAGGGCGACACCCCCGCGGTGGGGGCGATCCGGAAGGAGGGGGAGAGAAGGGAAACGAGCAAGCAGGGGCAGAGGCGGCAGGGGGGCCCGGAGAAACGACGACGGGGGGCCCCGCGACGCGGCCGAGCCCGCGACCGACGACGACGACGACCGAGCGAACCCCGTGACCCACGAGGAGGAGCAGGGGGTCGACGAACCACCGCGGAGGGGGGGGGCGCCGCTGGGGGTGGGTTCTGGGGGGTGGCGGGGGCGCCGCGCCACCTCGACAGAAAACAGACCGCCACGGGACCTAAGGCCGGGAGTGGCTGATGCAAAGGCGAATGAATGACAGCAAAACCAGGAGGCAACGCATCGGCGTCCGCCCAAAGCGACTAATCGGTGAGCGACCAACGTAAAATAAGGGATCAATCGGCGCGTGGCCAGCGCAACTAATCGGTGGGGGACGGGGCAGAACAGGCGACTGATCGGCGGGCGTAGGTCCGCGACTGCCGAAACAGGCGACTGTGGCGCGATGCTCTACTGCAAATTGGCAATAAAGCTGCGCAGGAAACTCACGTCATGCCACTGCGGGTCCAGCGTGTTGCGGCCGCACCAAGAGCAATGCGCTCTCCGAACCTCCTTGCCGTGGCCCCTTGGCTGCTTGGCGCGGGCCGCGAGCGTCGGCGTAGAGGCGCCCGTCAGGTCAGCCGGGCGCCCAGTCGAGCTGGCGTCGTCGGCAGCTCCGCGCCGACCAGGCGGGTTCCCCAAGGCGGGCGAGCCCCGCCAAGTGCCGCTCGTGAGCTGGCGGGGAGCGTAGAAATTCGCTCGCGACCCACCGCGGGGCCTTGTCTGGGCGAGCTCGCCCCGCTGGGGTTCTGTAATCCCACGTGAACTGATCCCGGCGTTCCCGCGTCCACGGAGAGACAGCCCGCGACTCTTTGACGCATCGCCAGAAGTCGCCCTGCCCTAGCCCGTCGAGGCGAGGTCTTGTCCACGGGGAGCGCCTTCGCAGCAGGCGCGCTGGTCGTAATTGGTGGGGGGCCGATGGATGGCGAGCGCCTGCCGTGCGCTATTGCCTCTGACGCCCGTAGCGACGGCTGCCAGTCTGCCGTCCGTGGCGTGGTCGATGAGACAGCCGGCGTGGGGGGGCTCTGGGCGTCTGTTCTAGCGCCAGCGTCGCTCGCAGCAGCGCTGTCAGAACGCGAGGGCGGGTTGTTGCCAAGCTCTTGCGTGTCCGCGACCTCGTTGGGTGGCGACGCGCAATCGCCGAGTGAGCTGGCAGAACGCGCGTCGCCTGCCAGGCATCCGGCGGCGTCGCCTTGGTCCGCGGACGCGTTGCATAGTTGGGCGACGCAGGTCGGAGCGGCGCAAAGAGGCCGTTAGCGACGAGGCGGCGCAGGGCAAGCTCTTCCGGCCCCTGTAGCTCTGAGCTGCTCTCTCCAGGCAGGGATTGGATTGGACAGTGGACCGAGGTCTCTCTCCATCGCATCCGTGTCCGCTGGTGAATTGGTGGGGCTCCACTTGGATGTGAAGACGACGTAGCTGGGTCTAGGGTCTGCTATCTTGGCTCCCCAACGGTTTCCCTGCGCCCCGCGTCCACCTCAAATCTCACGGGGCGAATTGAAGAAGCAAGGCTTGGGTCTAGGGCCTGCCGTTCTGGCTCCCCAAGAACTCCCCCAAACCCCGCATCGTCCATCCCAGAGCTCTGACGAAACTGGTGGGTATGATTTGCGCAGGTCGGTCGTGCAGCATGTGTGATAGGATTGGGGGCGAGCTTCCGAATGTCGTCCACCTGCTCCTGCGTCTCCACTTCCCCGACGCCCTCCACGACGCGACCCTGCTCCGAAGCCTCGCCCCCCCTGGCGTAGCGCTGCTCCGAGTGATCGGGTGGAGGGACGTCCGCCGCGACGACCGTGTCAGTGGGCAGGATGAAGGAGGCGCCGAAAGCGTCGAGAGCCACGATCTGCGCCCAGCCCGCTGCGGGAACCATGAAGTGACCAGGTGCGCTCGGTATGTTCGCGAACTTCATCCCTGTGGGTGACCCCAAGGGACCAGGTGGTTGCCCGGTGATGTTCGGAGGGGTGCCCTCCGTGGTCGCCAGCATGCTCACGCGGCCGTGCATCAAATTATGCTGGCGCTCTGTGTCGTCATTCGCCGTGAACCCTGCAGGGTCCCAGAAGGCCACCTTCTCTGTGAAGTTCTTCACCTCTTCCTCTGTGCCCTTCAGCTAGGAGGCGGTGCAATCTTCGTCGACGTCGCCCTTCACCTCCTGCTCCTTCTCTCCGTCGTTCTTGATGCCCCCCTTCCACGTCCTCGTCGATGTTTTCATCGTCCTCTTCTTCGCCCATCTCGACGTCCTCCGTGGCGTCCGCAGCACCTGAGGGCAGCGGGCGCCCGGGCGGCGGCGGCGGCCGCCGCGCCCGCGGCCGCTGGCCTCAGCGCGGCCGCCCGTGCTTCGGCGGCCGCGGCGCGAGCCGAGCAGCCCGCGGCAGCGGCGGCGGAGGCGTCCGAAGCGGCCGCGGCGGGCCGCGCCAGTGGCGGCAGCGGCAGCGAGAGCAGCCGCGGCCGGGGCGGCGCCCGAAGCAGCCGCGGCGGCGGCGGCGGCGCGGCTGGGTGGGGGCCCGCGCGGCTGCCGAGGGCAGCGGGCGCCCAGGCGGCGGCGGCAGCGCCGCCGGCCGCAGCGGCGGCGACGGCGGCGGCCGCGCTTGCGGCCGCTGGCCCCAGCGCGGCCGCCCGAGCCTCGGCGGCTGCGGCGCCAGGGCGCCAGCCGAGCAGCCCGCGGCAGCGGCGGCGGCGGCGTGCGCAGCGGCCGCGGCGGCCGCCGCGCCGGCGGCGCCAGCGGCAGCGGGAGCAGCCGCGGAGGCGGCGGCAGCAGCTTGCAGCGCCAACCCCGGGGGCGGCGCGCCGGGCGCCGCGGCGGCGCGCCGCTGGCGGCGGCGCCGAATCGCGGGCGACCCCCCGAGCTGCATGGCCCGGCGGGGCGGGAGTGAGGGGGTAGGTGGCCCCGTCCCCACTCCCGCAGGTGGGAGGCCGAAGGCCGACTTGCAGGCCCCTGGCCGCGGCCCAGCAATCAGCTCGGGCTCCCTC